ATTTAGATGAACCATATGTTTTCGAATTACCAAAATAAAGCTACAAAAACAATGTAATAACAGTGATCATAAGAACTGTGATTTTAAATTTAACAATAAACGATATACATAACACGTACGACAAAAACTTGCAGCCATAGCTGGCAGCACAACACTCCCAGTGTATGATGTGTGAGTGAGTCAGCACACGATGTGTTAGCGTCTGATGAGTGAGTGGGTGTATGATGTGTGAGTGAGTCAGTGTATGATGTGTGAGTGAGTCAGCAGCAGCGTGAGTGAGGGTATGATGTGCGAGTCAGTGTATGATGAGTGAGTCAGTGTATGATGTGTGAGTGAGTGTATGATGAGTGAGTCAGAAATAGCTTGAGTGAGGGTATTATGTGCGAGTCAGCGTATGATGAGTGAGTCAGCGTATGATGTGTGAGCGAGTCAGCGCATGATGAGTGAGTCAGTGTATGATGCGTGAGGCAGTGTATGATGTGTGAGTGAGTCAGTGTATGATGTGTGAGTGAGTCAGTGTATGATGTGTGAGTGAGTCAGTGCATGATGTGTGAGAGAGTCAGTGTATGATGTGTGAGTGAGTCAGTGTATGATGTGTGAGTGTGTCAGTGCATGGTGTGTGAGTGAGTCAGTGCATGATGTGTGAGTGAGTCAGTGCATGGTGTGAGTGAGTCAGTGCATGATGTGTGAGTGAGTCAGTGTATGATGTGTGAGTGACTCAGTGCATGGTGTGTAAGTGAGTCAGTGCATGATGTGTGAGTGAGTCAGTGCATGGTGTGAGTGAGTCAGTGCATGATGTGTGAGTGAGTCAGTGTATGATGTGTGAGTGAGTCAGTGCATGATGTGTGAGTGAGTCAGTGCATGATGTGTGAGTGAGTCAGTGCATGATGTGTGAGTGAGTCAGTGCATGGTGTGTGAGTGAGTCAGTGTATGATGTGTGAGTGAGTCAGTGCATGATGTGTGAGTGAGTCAGTGCATGGTGTGTGAGTGAGTCAGTGTATGATGTGTGAGTAAGTCAGTGCATGGTGTGTGAGTGAGTCAGTGCATGATGTGTGAGTGAGTCAGTGCATGATGTGTGAGTGAGTCAGTGTATGATGTGTAAGTGAGTCAGTGCATGATGTGTGAGTGAGTCAGTGCATGGTGTGTGAGTGAGTCAGTGCATGATGTGTGAGTGAGTCAGTGCATGGTGTGAGTGAGTCAGTGTATGATGTGTGAGTGAGTCAGTGCATGGTGTGTGAGTGAGTCAGTGTATGATGTGTGAGTGAGTCAGTGTATGATGTGTGAGTGAGTCAGTGCATGATGTGTGAGTGAGTCAGTGTATGATGTGTGAGTGAGTCAGTGCATGATGTGTGAGTGAGTCAGTGCATGGTGTGTGAGTGAGTCAGTGCATGGTGTGTGAGTGAGTCAGTGTATGATGTGTGAGTGAGTCAGTGCATGATGTGTGAGTGAGTCAGTGTATGATGTGTGAGTGAGTCAGTGCATGATGTGTGAGTGAGTCAGTGCATGATGTGTGAGTGAGTCAGTGCATGGTGTGTGAGTGAGTCAGTGTATGATGTGTGAGTGAGTCAGTGCATGATGTGTGAGTGAGTCAGTGCATGGTGTGTGAGGGAGTCAGTGTATGATGTGTGAGTAAGTCAGTGCATGGTGTGTGAGTGAGTCAGTGCATGATGTGTGAGTGAGTCAGTGCATGATGTGTGAGTGAGTCAGTGTATGATGTGTAAGTGAGTCAGTGCATGATGTGTGAGTGAGTCAGTGCATGGTGTGTGAGTGAGTCAGTGCATGATGTGTGAGTGAGTCAGTGCATGGTGTGAGTGAGTCAGTGTATGATGTGTGAGTGAGTCAGTGCATGGTGTGTGAGTGAGTCAGTGTATGATGTGTGAGTGAGTCAGTGTATGATGTGTGAGTGAGTCAGTGCATGATGTGTGAGTGAGTCAGTGTATGATGTGTGAGTGAGTCAGTGCATGATGTGTGAGTGAGTCAGTGCATGGTGTGTGAGTGAGTCAGTGCATGGTGTGTGAGTGAGTCAGTGTATGATGTGTGAGTGAGTCAGTGCATGATGTGTGAGTGAGTCAGTGTATGATGTGTGAGTGAGTCAGTGCATGATGTGTGAGTGAGTCAGTGTCAGCTTCCTCTGCTCGCGCCGTCGCCCCCCCTCCCCCCCCCGGCTCTGTCGCCCCCCCCCCAGCTCCGTCGCCCCCCCCCAGCTCCGTCGCCCCCCCCCCGGCTCCGTCGCCCCCCCCCCCTGGCTCTGTCGGCCCCCCCCGGCTCCGTCGCCCCCCGTCGGCCCCGTCGGCCCCCCGGGTTCGATTCCCGGCCAATGCAACTTAACTTTTTTATATATTACGTTGATACAACATCTGCAAAAACTTTTTTTGCAGGTGTTGCAGACTGAAATGTCTATCAGTGTTATGAGCAAAAGTGGTGCAGGTCGCTTGGAGCAAGCGTGCAAAGCATTGGTGGTTCAGTGGTAGAATTCTCGCCTGCCACGCGGGAGGCCCGGGTTCGATTCCCGGCCAATGCAACGAGTTTTTATTATTTTTTTAAGGTCATTATTTAATAAAAGTCAATGAATGCTCTTTTTCACGTGACGTGTTCTGAAGAAGGGTATTTGCCCAAAGTGTTGTTTGTTTTCTTATACAGTTCGTGCTCTTTGCATGGCTGCTAACGCATCAGCAATCAACCAAGTGACGTTTTTTCTCACTTGCCTGGGAGAGAGATCACAGACACAGAGATAACAACAATCACAACTGGGCAATGTGTACGAATTCTTTTTCGTTTCAAATCCGATGGTAAATTAAAAAAATCAGAGACACGAATCTTTTTTTTGCGTTAAATCACTTGAGCAAAAGTGGTGCAGGTCGCTTGGAGCGCTCGTGCAAAGCATTGGTGGTTCAGTGGTAGAATTCTCGCCTGCCACGCGGGAGGCCCGGGTTCGATTCCCGGCCAATGCAACGAGTTTTTATTATTTTTTTAAGGTCATAATTTAATAAAAGTCAATGAATGCTCTTTTTCACGTGACGTGTTCTGAAGAAGGGTATTTGCCCAAAGTGTTGTTTGTTTTCTTATACAGTTCGTGCTCTTTGCATGGCTGCTAACGCATCAGCAATCACCAAGTGGCGTTTTTTTTCACTTTCCTGGGAGAGAGATCACAGACACAGAGATAACAACAATCACAACTGGGCAATGTGTACGAATACTTTTTCGTTTCAAATCCGATGGTAAATAAAAAAAATCAGAGACACGAATCTTTTTTTTCTGCGTTAAATCACTTGAGCAAAAGTGGTGCAGGTCGCGTTGAGCGAGCGTGCAAAGCATTGGTGGTTCAGTGGTAGAATTCTCGCCTGCCACGCGGGAGGCCCGGGTTCGATTCCCGGCCAATGCACATTTTTTAATATTTTTTTTTTTACGAATGCATGTGCTCCTCGATCTTTCTTAGTGTTATGCACTTTACCATGCACTTCCTTTGCCATGTCCATTACTTCTAATCAGAATCAGAATCAGAAAGGGTTTTATTCGCCATGTAAGTTCACACCGACACGGAATTTACTTTGGCAGGATGGTGCATACATTCAACATATAGGAATCTAAAATCTTAAATAAGTTTTAAACAAGTCTTACTATAATAAGGGTTAAAAGTCTAACACTAAGGGGCTGAAGTATATAAAATTAAATAAATATCGAATATAAAATAGCTTTAAGATATAATTTAAAAATACAAATAGGGAAACATAGTTAATATCAGCAACGTGTCGTTATGTAGATCAAATGTTAAAAACAGTGTTAGCCCTTGGCCTTGTTTAACAGGCCAGCAGCAGATGGGAAGAAACTGTTTTTATGGCGTGAGGTTTTGGTCCTGATGGACCGAAGCCTTCTGCCGGAGGGGAGTAGCTGAAACAGAGAGTGTCCAGGGTGGGAGAAATCGGCCATAATCTTCCTCGCTCGCCTCATAGACCTTGTCGTGTGCAGGTCCTCGAGGGTCGGTAGATTGCAGGCAATTACCTTCTCAGCAGTGTGGATGATACGCTGCAGTCTGCTCTTGTCCTTGGCAGTGGCAGCAGTGTACCAGACGGTTATGGAGGAGGTGAGGATGGATTCAATGATCGCTGTATAGAATTGCACCATCATTGTCTTTGGCAGGTTGAATTTCTTCAGCTGCCGTAGAAAGTACATCCTCTGTTGAGCTTTCTTGGTGAGGGAGCTGATGTTCAATTCCCACTTGAGGTCCCGGGAAAGAATAGTGCCCAGGAAGCGGAAGGACTCTACAATTTTTACTGGGGAGTCTAACAGGGTGATGGGGGTGAGTGGTGCTGTATTCTTCCTGTATTCTAATCGGCGTCAGCAAATTATTTGGTGGTGCACGAGCAAAAGTAACACCCTTAGGCGGAGTTTTACTTATATATTTTTAGGGGGTGGGGGCAGGAGTTCGCTCTCTTTCTCACATTAGGAATTGCAAGAGCATATGATTCATTTTTAAACTTTATTGTAAACTACTGAAAATAAATTAATAAAGGTGTCCAGTTTGGGAGGAGCGATGCCCCCCCAAACTCCACCGATAAGGAACACAAAACCACTCAAAACACTCGTAAATTATAAACACCGTGGCCTTATAAAGAAAAAAAATAGCGACGTTTCGGGCAGGGTCCACGGCGCAAAACGTCGTCAATTAATACCACGTGGGGGTTCGGACCGGGGTGGGGGCAGGGTCAGAGTCATGCTCGGGCAGGGCTAAACCTCAGGGGGTGTGGCTTAAGCGGAAGTGGGCGGGGCTGTTTTCACAAGGGGGCGTAACTAGAACTTGGAGGAGCGGGGCTCGGCTCCGGGGGTGGGAGGCTTGTTTTTCGAGGGCGCGGCTAACGCCATTAAACTCGCCGTTGGAAGGCGGCGGGGCTAATATTTAACGAAGGCGTGGCTAGCGATGAGAAGGAGGCGGGGCTATATTTAACGAAGGCGTGGCTAGCGATGAGAAGGGGGCGAGGCTCCTTTCGTGTGGGCGGAGTTCGGGGGCGAGGCCACGTGACTTCCCCCCGCGTGTCACCTCGCCTTCGCTCACTCCGCCATGTCGCTGCTCGTGGCCGTGAGGCGCTGCTCTTCGTCCGCCCTGCAGGCGCTGAGCCCGGGGCTCAAGGGGCTCCGCGGTTCCCCGGCCGCGCTCAACAGCCGTGAGTCGCTCCTGCACCTGTTTGATTTGAGAGGTTTTTCGTCGTCGACTTGGGCGGTTAAACGAGCGACTGGCCGCGCGCGCCGCCCTCCCTCAAGGGCGAAGCGGTCAGGCGAGGACAGGCGGCAGCCGGCACCAAGGCCTCGGTCGTTTGGCATTTAAAAGTTTGCTCCGTTTTGCATGCTTTGTTTATTACGCGTTAGTTTGTTGATGAGTTTCGAGGTGAATGTTGGCTTGAAGCGAGAGGTTGGTTGCTGGGCCTAGATGGTGTTGGTTGGAGTATTGTTGATTCATCGGTGCGCCAAATAGAGATGGCGGCCATTTCACTACGGCTTAGGCGGCGCCTAACTTATTACATTATTTTAACAATTGTCCTCCTCGCGGTTCAATGTACAATTATAGGTTTAGCAGTATGACTAGCATTGCTCAAAAGCGTGCATTTTAATCGATTGAATGATTCCAACATGCATTGTGCACGCAGGCTGTGCCTCCTTTTTTTGTTTGAGAACTGCAGTGAAAGTGCGCCCAGCAGTCATTTCACATGAGCTGATTATTTTTTTTTTAAAACCTCACAAAAATAAACTGTAGTTGGCTCAAATGCAATCGTTAATTCATCGCGGTGATTCAAATGTCACTCAAGGGGATAGTGACCTCGCCTAGGGTTGACCTCTGTGGGCCATAGTCACCCACATCAGCGCAAGGTCAGAGCAAGGTAACGGTGTTAGCCGCCTTGCAGTTGGGAAACGGTTAACATCGTAACCGTAATTGTTAAAGTCTTTTTTTGTAAATTTAAATCTAAATTACATCTACTGCACAAAAAGGCAAAGATTCTTCGACTGAAGTGAATGCGTACGTCCACGAATCGGTTACGGCGATGTGGTGTACATCGATTTGTGACCGAGAATAGGTAATGTTAGATTCGTGTATACATTTTTAAAAATTATACAAAATGTATCTAACATTTTAATCAAATTTGCACCTCTTGAACAGAACTGATAGCATAAGAGTCGCGACCCACAATCATGGCAATTCATTCAACCATTACGTAACTCTTAGTGGGAAGGTATTGAAGGGTTAATGGATGAATATGGAATATTAATTAAGTACACTGCAATATAATCTCGTCTCGCTTGTGAGAAGATATTTCTTACTATTTGTGTTAATTATATGGAAGTGCTACTTTTAGGCTATTGCAACGAACGGAACACGACAAAAGGACACGAGACGCACTCGAATATATACTTAGCATATCGACAATGACCAGTAATCGTGAATGGAAATGTTGCAAATTCATCACATTTATGGTATGTTGCAAAGTTAAAACCGGCTGTAGGACATTCAGTTAATGAATTAATTTACATACACATAAGGTGATATCCTACTCTCGGAGTAATAGATTTAATACAGGTTTCAATTGTTTCGGCGTTGCTTCAACATTTCTCTATTCTCCACCCTCCCCTCCTTCCTTGGCCTGCCGCAGGTAGAGAATATGCCGCTGCCCCGCCAGCCAAGGCGGCCACGGCTGCTGTGGCCAGGGGCCGCATCGTGGCGGTGATCGGCGCCGTGGTGGACGTGCAGTTCGATGAGGGACTCCCGCCCATCCTCAACGCGCTGGAGGTGCAGGGCCGCGACACGCGCCTCGTTCTCGAGGTGGCGCAGCACTTGGGTAAGCCCCCCCCCCGCCCTCCCCCCCCATGCACCAACACCACCTCCTTTAATTTTTGCTTTCACCACTGCTATCACCAGCCACCACCTCTTATCAATACTGCCACCACTGCTGCTATCACCACAACTTCAACCGTTGTTACTGCCACCACCCCAGCTGCCACCAGCTGCAATTGTTGCCGACACCTTCGCAACCATTGCCACCGCTGCGAGCTCCGACTGCCTCAGTCCTTGCTGCCGTAGCCCAATCCCTCTCCACCACCATCACAACAGGCCGCTGTCACCACCACCTATATATCAGCACCACACTGCTTTCACTATCAGCGGGCACCTCTTCCACTGTCAGCCCTCCACTACCCTCGCCACCACCTTGGCAATCACGACTATTGCCACCACTATCACCTCCGCTATAACCACCACCACTATTTCCACCGTTGCCATCTCCTCAACGGCCACCGCTTCCACCACTGTCACGTCCACCATCACCATTGTCACCAGTGCCATGACGTGGTGATCACAGCACGTGTTATACAGGGTAATGTTCCATTTATCTTTTACCTGCCCTTGAGCCTCGCACAACTCCCAAAGTGTTGTAGATGAGGAAGCAGGCCTCTATATTATTCAATGACCTTAACCAGTAATCGCATTCAAATCCCAAGCCTCTTGCAAGGGACGGGCACCTTGGGGTGGAATGTGAAAAAACCATACAAAAGCAATTCCTGGCAGTACACATTAACTTTAAACAAAAACATCCGTTACATTTACAAAAACTTTTGTTATATTCACCAAAATTCGACGTTTTTTTCTGTTCGTGCATTTTTGCACCATTTCCAACCCAGCGATATAGACATTTTACTTTCACCGATTTGTTTCAAACGAAACGAGCGGTGACAATAGCATCCTGATATGGGGGGTACTTCAATGCAGTCGCCACTTGTGATATGATGGGGAGCTGTCGCCGCGTGACGCGCTGCTGGCTCGTCCGGTTTTACCCAACGTGCTGTTGCCGGCCCACGTGGGAATGCGGCAGAGCAGCGCGAGCAGTCGAGTGAAGGTCACGTCCCACGCAGCGCCCCCCCTCGATCGACAGCTGCACCTATCCATTGTGCTTTCGTTTAACATTATTATCCGCAGACTCTCACCTCCGGCGATGTACATAAAATATCAACGTTCTTCCGAGGCCTGATGTAAAAATTATATTTCCGTAGCGGGTCATGCAGATTTAAATAAAACACTCGTGGCAATTAAAGTTCCCAAAATGTTTTACCTCCTGTAATAGCATGAAGGTGGTTGTTGACCTATATGCACATTTGAAGGCTGTTTCCTGATGTATTTGTGTTTCTTGGATTTCTCAGGTTTTTTTTCCCACATTCAAAATATTTAATGAAGGAATTTGTCGAACACTACAATGCAAAACTCGCCTGAAAGTCTTGAGACTTGGCGGAACCGGTCCATGATTATTAAAGGGCGATTAATTCAACGCAGCTGTGTATTATACATCGACGGGGAGCAGTGTTGCGGTGGTTAGCGCGCTCCACCTGGGGGATGCGCACCGTGACACGTCGAGTTAAAACGCCGTTTTAAAATCCGTGGCCGAGGTGGGAGATGAACCCGAACTCGTGCCGCCGCTGTCCTGGTCGCCGCGTGCAGGGGAGAGCACGGTGCGCACCATCGCCATGGATGGCACGGAGGGCCTGGTGCGTGGGCAGGTGTGCCTGGACACGGGCACACCCATCCGTATCCCCGTGGGGCCTGAGACTCTGGGACGCATCATGAACGTCATCGGGGAGCCCATCGACGAGAGGGGGCCCATCAGCTCCAAGCAGTGAGTGTCTTCCGCGACGGTGTTAGGTTCCGTTTGACGAGATGAGCGCTGAAAATATTGACGGGAATATTTTTTCGCTTGGTCGTCAGTGACTTGAGATGGTGAAAATTATTGCGCGCCATGATGACCGCGACTACTGTCTAATGGATGACTATGACGAAATGAACTAGTTGACTGATGACGTTATTAGGGATTTCAATGCACAGAGGTAGCTCAGACATGGCAAATGTGTGTATATATGTACTGTATGTATGTAAAAAGTGTACTGAAATCCACACCTCTGTGGGCAAGTCAATGGAATATGGAATTTCCACCACCAGTTCAGGGCCATTAATGAAAATGAGCCTGGTGGTAGACTGATATTTTTTTTGTATTCGAGGTGGCCGGTTTGCTCGAAGGATGATCGACATTCAAATAGGACTTAGAATCAGAAGCAAACGTTATGATTTTTGAGCATATGTTGGATACATATAATTGAATTTCCTCCATAATTCTGGGATGATGTGAACGTCACGCGATGCTTCAGAAACCTTTCCCTCCGGTGATGAAAGAAATTATGACTTTCGTTCTTCTGAAAGCCATGATGTAATGTTTTGTTTAAACTGAGGAGGGTTGGCGCTGGCATGAATTCACTCTTGGTGCAAGCTTTTGTGATGGGTGTAATCGATAGCAGTGATTCTCATCCACTCCTGTCTTTTTTTTTACCCACGTATATTTTGTATGAATCTCCGATTAGCAAGATTGACCACGTACGTTGCAAAATTACATTCTGTGGCTGTCTGTTTGGGGAGTGGTGGCAGAGTGGTTAGCACTGCAGAACAAACCAGGCGACTAAAGTTCGACTCCCGCTCACGGCCAACATTGACGATTATCTGAACCGGTTCCGGGTCTCCCCGAGGTAGAACTCCGTCTTAAATGCGTACCCGGTGCGGTGTGTAAACACCACTGGGGAGACGGAGGTGACGGGGTGTGATGTCGGCCACCCACCCCTCCCGTGTGCCATGCCGGCATTCATCGGCGCTCCTGTGTTCACGTGTCTGTGTGTGTTCACGTGTGCGTGCTGCGGTGCAGGTTTGCTGCCATCCACGCGGAAGCTCCCGAGTTTGTGGAGATGAGCGTGGAGCAGGAGATCCTGGTGACCGGCATCAAGGTGGTCGATTTGCTGGCCCCGTATGCCAAGGGTGGCAAGATCGGTGAGCCGACTGTGGGTGTGAGGATTGTAAAGCTTGGCTTTTGAACTAAACCAAAATATTTTTTCTTTACCAGGTAAGGCCCGCTGAGCTATAATATATCTCTTTCTCAAGCAACCAGGACACACATGATAGCTCAACAAAGTGGCCTATCACGTGAGAAATTGTTAGCGTCGAATCCACGACCACCTGCATATTTAGGAAAGGTAGTTAACATCCCACCACTGCGCGCCCAATCGGTATGAATGACTGAAGACCCATATTTGTCTGGCATGTGCAGCCATTTGGGTGGTTCTGTAAGCAACCGACTCAATTGGAAGGTTGCGGGTTCAGTTCCCGGTTAGGCGTTCATGACACGTGCGACGTTGCTGCAAACTTTTCACCTCCGATGATGAGAAAAAATAATGACTTTCGTTCTTCTGAAAGCCGTGATGTTAATTCATTTTTAACTGAGGAGGGTTTTGCAGCATTTAATGCGATGCACTTTTGCTTATCAACATTCTACGGCAGTGGTTTTCAAATGTCAACCCCTCGAATTCATGCATGTCTGTTCACGTCTCTGTTTGGCTACGTGTGTGTGTGTACACATGCCATCATGCCTATGGAGTTGATCAAATCAGTGCTGTGTTGTGGGAAGTTGGCAGTGGTGGTCATGACTAAAACAAATGTTCAATGTCCACCACTAGCTGTCCCATTGTAGGTTTAAGTGGGGGAGTGACTGATTTTGCCATAGCTCCCTTTTATCCAGGAAAGCCACCGAGTCGAGACTTATTTTAGGAGGTTTCTGATCATTTTTTGCAGTCAGGGGTAATGTTGCTTTGTGTGTTTTTACCCAAGTCATTTGATAATTTGGCAAAATTTGGATCTGGACGCTTGCACACATCTGCTGGTTTTAAGATAGTTGCGGGATCTGGGAAGCAGGCGGCATGTAATTTTACAGTTAATTACAAAAAAGTTGTTGATTTCTTACTCGTGTCAGCACAGAGAGGCGGTGCTTATTTCCCCACTTACAATTCCGAGTCGGAAATTCCTTATTCTTGTAGCGGGGGTGGGGGTGAGTCTGTTGACCACTCTGTTCCCCACCTCGCCGTACGTAATGGTGGCAAGTGCGCCACCGCTCGTCCCTGCCCGCGCCACCCCCCCCTGACACGCGGCGTGACGTGGCGCAGGACTCTTCGGTGGTGCCGGCGTGGGGAAGACTGTGCTCATCATGGAGCTGATCAACAACGTGGCCAAGGCGCACGGAGGCTACTCCGTGTTTGCCGGCGTCGGGGAGCGCACGCGCGAAGGCAACGATCTCTACCACGAGATGATTGAGTCCGGTGTCATCAACCTCAAGGACACCACCTCCAAGGTGCCGCCCTCCATCCTCTCCCCTCTCTCCCCACACCAGGCTTGCTCAGCTTTGAGGGTACGACTTTAAATATAGGCAGACTTGGGAGGGGGGGGGGGGCTAACCAGGCAGCAAGTCAAGTAAGCGGTTGATTAACCAGTCACCTTGGGTACCCAGAAATTAACTGAGGTAGCTGGCCAATCAGCAAGTCAACCCGGCAAGGCAAACGGGCAGCTGTCCAGAGAGCCAGAGGCACGCAGACATCCAAGCATTGAAATGGGTCACCCAGAAAAAGCAGGCAGGTCGCTAACCAGTCGGCTATATAGCCCAAAGCGACAACCAGGTATCACACCAGCCACTCGATCCGCGTAGCTCATAATACGACCTAAAAACCAACCATAGGGTTAAGCAGCCAAGTTAGCCACCCAGCCAACAACGCTTCTTGGCTACCCAACTCGCCGGGCGATCGGCAACCCTTCCTGCCAATTGCCCAGACAATCCAGCCAGCCAGGCAACCAGTTAGCCAGATAGCTACCTCACCTATTCACCTACCTTCTGCTCATTCACTCGTACATTCATCACGCCCCCCCACTACCAGCCCCCGTGATATGATGCGATTGCTGACTCTTGTCGCTCGCTGCTCCCTGCAGGTGGCGCTGGTGTACGGGCAGATGAACGAGCCGCCCGGCGCCCGTGCCCGTGTCGCCCTGACGGGGCTCACGGTGGCCGAGTATTTCCGTGACCAGGAGGGCCAGGACGTGCTGCTCTTCATCGACAACATCTTCCGCTTCACACAGGCCGGCTCCGAGGTGCCACGGGAACCGTGCGGGCCACGCACACAGCTGACGTGACACGGCTAATGTGACACAACGTAACGAGCTAATGCAACGCGCGCGCAAACGGCTAACGTACCCCGCGTAACACGCACACAGCTAACTCGAGCAATATAAAGCACCGACAACGATAACGTAAGAATACGTAAGAACGCAACTAATACTAACATAAACACAGAAAACATAGCTAAAGTTGCTCAACTAGGAACGAAATATAACCAACATACACCCACAGCCAACCTAATATGGTCAACACAACACCACTCGCATTGCACAACTGACACCACAAAAATAAAACACAAGAATACAATTATCATTCATAACGTCTTTTGGAAACTCATAATTTTAGATCCCAGTTGGATGCTCACTCGCGTGCCATGTTGCTGTAGAAGCTATTCCCTCCGATGATGAGAAAAATTATGACTTTCGTTCTTCTGAAAGCAGTGATGTTAATTTTCTATAGCTGAGGAGGGGTTAGCAGCGGTGTTATTTCACCCTCTATGCAAGTTTTTCTTCACGTGTTCTGCTGCAGGGATCTCGAATATAAACATCCACATTTCTTAATATTGTGTGTGCACGCGCATGTCTCCGTGTTTTAGCTGTTTGTGTGCGTGTACATGTGCCGACGTGTGTACACGCGTGTCATATTTAACAACAGAGCAAGACGGCTAACACAACGAAACGACAATATAACACAATAATAAAGGCAGGAACCCTTCTGAAAGAGAAGTGGGGCACTGATTTCCCTGTGATAATGCAGTGGCTACAGGAAGCTGTTGGTCGGGTAGTCGGGGTGCTTTTGCTAACCCTCTTTTTTGTTTCCGCCCCCGGATTGCACTCAGGTGTCTGCTCTTCTTGGGCGTATCCCCTCCGCCGTGGGTTACCAACCCACGCTCGCCACGGACATGGGTACCATGCAGGAACGCATCACCACCACCAAGAAGGGCTCCATCACCTCCGTGCAGGTGAGGTGGGCGGATGAGAGAGAGAGAGAGAGGGTGCTGCGGTGAGGGACGGTCGAATAAGGGGACGAGGAGGATTTGTGCAAGAGTCTGCGTACGGGAGTTGAGACTCATCCTCCCCGGTATTCCTTACGTGCGCACGTGTGAATGTGCTCTGCGTATGGTAGGTGTGTTGCAAGTACGATTGGTATTGGCACCGTTCTTAGAGCACAAAGGCCTCCTCGGCAAGGTGCGTGCGACATCCCACTTGCTAATCTCGCCATTTTCATAGCACAGACTCACAAAGGTGCTATGCTTCTGCCTTGTAAGCTTTAAATGACATTGCCGTCTAAAGTCTGCTGCAGAACTGGCAGACAGCGACAAATCCCAGACAATGATTGACGGTGAGTTGTCTTTTTTGCCACGCGGGACGATCACCATGTGGCGCTGAACGGTGATTTAATTTTATAAAATAAAATCGATCCTTGGCCTTCTTGGTGGATAATTGAATCATGGTACATAAGAAATATTTACTAAAATTGCAAACGATATCTGAAGGATGCTGCAACGAATAAGGAAAACCTAAGCGGTTCAAATGAGACGTGAAATGAGTTCCGAACCGAATAGTCGCATATCACGCACAAACGGCACGATGACGTAGGGAAGGGTGGGAATGAATCGCCAACGCCCGTTGATGATTCACCGTCCGCTCACAACCTCCACCTTGACACCGCCACGCAGGCCATCTACGTGCCGGCTGACGACTTGACCGACCCCGCCCCGGCCACCACCTTCGCTCACTTGGACGCCACGACCGTGCTGTCGCGTGCCATCGCCGAGTTGGGCATCTACCCGGCGGTGGACCCCCTCGACTCCACCTCGCGTATCATGGACCCCAACATTGTGGGCCTGGAGCACTACGAGGTGGCCCGTGGCGTGCAGAAGATCCTCCAGGTGGGTGCCGCCCCCCCCCCCCCCCCCACCACCTCGCTTGCTCTGTTCGGCTGGGGTTATGTTGTCAAGCGTAGTATGGAGGGACTGGTTGACTGAGAGGGCTTGGCTGGTGCATGGTGTTGGGTTGGTTTTGGGATAGGCGAGTGGCTTTTACAACTGCAGAACCCCCCCACCCCTGGCTCTGCTTGGCATTCAGCCAGGATTCGATGTTTTGTTCTCACGGTTTGGCCCTGGCTTAATTTGCTAAATAGCGAGCCCACCCCATACATACCGTGTGGCTCTGATGTCCCAGCGAATATGTTAAACCATTTAGTCGAGCTATCATTTGTGGCCAGGTCGCTTCTGAAAGAGAAGCCAAATAGCTCGGTGGGCTTCGCTTGGTAAAATAAAGATTTTAGTAATTTGCTTTACCGTTCCTATGCTTCCCGCTCCTGTGTTTTTGTTCTGTTGTAATTTTCTGACCCGCCCCTACGGGACATTTGTGAAAAAGAGCTTCATAGCTCATCATATTCCTCCGGTATAAATAAAGATTGTGATTCCGAATGCACGGGGGAGTGGGGGGGGGGGTATGAGCTCTTGCTGGTTACAAAGCCAAGGCTGGCTCTCGCCTGGCCCAGGGTGAGTTATTCGCAGGATAGCTGTTGCATGGTTTTTGGCCGGTCGAAAATGCTCGTTTGATTCTCGTCACTCCTCAGGACTACAAGTCCCTTCAGGACATCATCGCTATCCTGGGTATGGACGAGCTGTCGGAGGAGGACAAACTGACGGTCGCCCGCGCTCGCAAGATCCAGCGCTTCCTGTCGCAGCCCTTCCAGGTGAGGGGGGTGGGGGGTGATCGCTGCCCATCGCGATAACTCCTGGGGGTAGGAAACATCCCCCTAAAGATCTACATTAAATAGCTCTTCATTGTATGTGTGTGATTGTAAATATTGTGGCTTGGCTCTCCAACACACCGGTGTGCTGTACTAGTAACGAATTGGCATGTTCTGTTTACGTGACAACCCTTGCTAGTTGGCTGTGGTGGGTTTTAACGACACGTATTTACGCGATCTAACCCAAAACACCTCTTATGAATGATATTGGTCGCGAAAGCCTAAGTGTTAAACTGATTTGTGTCTGCACACTATTCTGCGACCGTCTGGAACGTTCTTCCAATAATCGTAAGCCACTGAAGCCACACTTTTAAATCCAGATTGAAAGCTTGTTTCTTTAGAATAACTTTTTGTGTTTAGTTTGTCTTTCCCCCCCGTACCTCCAGTGAGCATAGTTGGCTATTTACGGTGCGAAATAGGTTAAACATACACACACCTTCTCCGAGTGGTGCGGCAGTGGTTAATGGGTTCGATTACTGGCCACAGCAAATGGTCGTGAACACACGTCCTGGTGGGATGCATCCTCCCCCCACATTCATGAACTCGCACTAACCAGTGCGGTGAAGTATGTTTGAGCAACTCCCATGCCATGGTTAAACACCCCATCGGTGGATTGGACACATGGCTGTAACATATTTACGTGGTTGTGTTAAAAATGGTCGTTGCAAAAAAGTTAAAAATTTTAGTTGGTTGTTTGTCTTACACTTTTTTTCCATTATCTTTGTGTGCAGCTTTCTGAGTGTAGTGTATTTTTACACAATTCTAAAAGTTAATTAAGTGGTCCTGGGAAAAATAAAATATCCTGGCGCTGTCTCAATTGGAGCACTTTGCAATGCACTTGTGACGATTGCATCATCTCCTCCACAGATGGTCACGCAGCGAACCGAAATATTTTTCTCAGCCCCTTAAGCTGCCTGCTGTCAACACAAAAAAAGCCTAACTCTAGACAACGGGATGTATTGATTTATACCGAGTTTGCCAGCACCACATCGCCCCTGAAGTGAGTTGCTTGAGCCCAAGGCTGACGCTATGTACGCGTGCCTCCTCCTCGCTTTTACCCCGCAGGTGGCCGAGGTGTTCACAGGCCACCAGGGCAAGCTGGTGCCTCTCGCGGACACCATCAAGGGGTTCAAGATGATCCTCGGAGGTATGGACTACACTGCTCCCCCCCCCCCCCCGTGTCTGTCTGTGGTTTACTCTAGTTGCCTCCTTGCCGCACCAGGCAGTCTTAGCGATGCGTGCGGATTTTTTTTAGTACAGTGCGCGCCGATTTTAGGAATGGCTCATGCCGAGAAAAGCTTGCCAGATGTTATCGTGAAGAGGGAGGTCGTGATGGGTGGGACGCGCGTGCAGGTCAGAGGGGGGAGGGCAGATAATTGATGGACTTTGGGGTGGCACCCAGAGGCTGGCGAGGAAAGGGGATGACCCCCGTCGTGTGCCGTGCCGGCCTTCATAGGTGCTGCTCCCGACACAGCACTTGTCCCAACAACATGTAAAGGCTATATATGGGGAACCTTCGTCTTATCAGTCCCGTGGTGAGAAACTGTAAGAAAAGAATTGGTGTTAGCGTTCCTCGCTAAAATGACTTTGCAACAGCTGCACGATCTCGTGTGGGAATTTGGTGGCCTCTTACCTTGACCCCCCCTGCATTGTATTAATTATCATTGGTGGCTTTGGCTTGAGCCATAAGTTAATGATTACCAAACTTCATCATTGACCTTTGTGTACTCATTAATGAACAAGACCACCAGCTTACTGTGCGCGATAATGTAGTCTAAGCACAGTTAGACAATTCCTTATTTGGAGGCAGCATTGATATTATGTCTGGTCGGTTACTCTGAAGCTTTAAAAAAGAAATGGCAAATGGCCCGACAGGCCAGGCTCAGCGTGATGCGGCTGATACTGTTATCAAGTCTCATTATCCTACCCTTCAGCGTCAGGGAGATCTTTCTCCCCAAACTATATTCGTCTTAACCCTATTAGTCAAGTAATCGCACTGTTGAATGAGTTGATTCTGAGTTGATTAATTGATTACTTAATCTGATTGCACAGCTCCAGTGCTTGACTGCACAGCGAGTTCCGATTGTTTCTGGAACACTTTTATCGTTCTTAAAGTTGTATGTATACTCGGGTATTAAAAAAAAAATGACGTTTGCAAAGACCAAGTTTGGGATACACTTTTAAATGCGTTTTGTGTAATAGATATTTTCAGATTCTTTTTTTCTAAGCCGTGATTTCTTTTTTTCGTAATCGAGCAAGGCACCATATATAAATTAACGATTGCGTAATTGATTGGCACGCGCGTGTATGTGACCCATAGGTGAGATGGATCACCTCCCTGAAATCGCGTTCTACATGGTGGGGCCCATTGAGGAGGTTGTCACCAAGGCTGAGAGGTTGGCCGAGGAGCAGCAGCAGGCATTGTAAATTGTCCACTCGGTCCGCCAGCTCTTAATGATTACGCAAAACTCCTCGGGATAGAAACCGCTGCACTTGTCACTTGCAATTAGGCACATTTGTACAAATGTGTGTTGTCAGCGCAGCAGTCTCCACAGCCTCCTCTGCTTTCGTGTTGTCCAAAAAATAAAGTTCCCTTTATTGTGAAATTTGTGCGAGTGTTTGTGGGAGCAGCAGTGTGGGGCGGTGATAGTTTGTGCTGTGAAGAAGGGTCATTGACTGAAACGTTATATAATACAGCATCTCCTCTACTTACAAAATTCGACTTATGAACTATCGGATACAAAGAAGCCTCTTTGGACTGAGCGTCGTAAATTCAATATATGGCGGTGGTGGCAACTACATCTGCAGAACATGAAGAACCAGTGGCATCTTCAGGAGGTTATACAACTTGTAAAGCCATTCCCTGTTTAGTGTACAGTACATGCCGTACAACATGTTTAGACTTAGGAACAAACTGACTTACGAAACAGACCTGGAACCTAACTCATTTGTAAGTCCCTAAGTTCACAGTGACGAATATTCAGTTGTAAGCCTTTCTAATCATTGTAACTTTACAATCTATGATGAAACCCAACAGGCAACCTCTGTTTAAATAGGGCAGGGCAAATAGCCCTGGAGAGAAGACTGCTTGTAATTGGTCAGTGATCGAAGGATTGCCCCGAGGCGACAACCATCCCTTGTCTGGGTGGGGTTGGAATCGGCCAATTGGAAGCCAACATCTAATTCCTCCGCCGTGGCTGACCATTGCCATAACGCCGAGGGCTCTCATTGTTTTTTTCCCGAGACCAAGGTACTCTGCAAACCTTCGGGCTACTATCAAAGGGTTTGGTCATGAAGCCATCCAGATATATAAATAAAAACATAGACATAACTTCAACCGAGGTGGATACAAATTAAGCAATCATTGGAAGGATGTTATTAACCAGGTAAAACCTTAACGGCTTTATGGTGTTGCCTTTGTATCCGCATCTCCAGTTTCTTCAGCCTCCTAGCCCCGCCCACTCCCCCCCCAGCATTCCCTTGCGCGTTTACTAACCCCCCCCCCCCCCTTGCTCTATCTCTCCTCCCTGACTCCTTCCCCCTCTTACCTATATAGCCTCGTGTCACAAGTAGCTTTTTTGCCCACTTCAGCAATTTTCTTGCTGTGGTTATCCCACCTGATGACGGATGCTTGTGTTGCGCCCGAAACGTCGTGATAAAACATTTTTTTTATATATATACCTACGTGACTTTACCGAAATAACCAAAGAGTATATGGATCCCTGCAGTCACGAAAACTTCAAATCTAGATTAAGCCAAAATCTGTTGTGTAGAAATTCAGACCCATGAATCTTCAGTACAGATTCTCTTGAAATAAGATTGTCCGATGCTACTCTGCAGTGTAAAGCCAATTAGCCCTTCGATTATATATATTTTTTTACTTTGCAATAGTTTCATTAAGACATTTTTATTAGCTTCACAAAGTGTCCGAAATGAAATAAATGTTGTAGATGGGGCCCCCAACAAACCCATATTAGACCCTAGCTGCCACTGGCAAAAGCACATGTTGACAAATATCCATTTTCAATGAGATTTTTAAGGCATTTCCTTTGACAAAATGCAAACAACCAAAGCCACATTTTAGAAAATAAAATCGCACTATATTCCCATGCAGAAACAACACAGCCTTGGATGACAGAGACGCGAATAAACAATGTACACCTGGTTAACGTTGCACACTCAATGTCGGCTTTCATGAGCGTTAAGGACCAGGTCGCAACTTTGGAGTAGCTCAAAGATAACATTTTTTCTGGTGTGGAATACATGCATAGAGTTGTCGGAAGCAATATTTTGGCGATTCGTATATGTTGAATGTGTCCATGGGTTCGCGTTTTTAGGTTGCCGTGTTGCTTTCACGATATGATTGCAATGGTCACGACACGGAAAATTGTCGCGAGATCACTTTTCCCAGACTTTGAAAATATATTTCCCATTTTTAAATGTACTGCTTTTGTGCTTTGCACTTCCAGTCGATCTCGAGATCACCAAATTATTTGGTGACTACGTTAGCCGTGGTGCACAAACAACAATATACTCAATGGTCAATAAATGCCTTTAAAAGGAAAAATATGAAGCGGGTGATGTTTCAGGCATTGACTCTCTACAGAAGCCACTATCTCTGGCCTCTATGCTGTGAAGGGCCATTGCCTGAAACGTTACCTAATATACACTTTTATGGCCACTGTTGAGGAATGTTCAGTTGTCATAAGTCTACTTATTCTAAGTTTCCAATAATTTTTTACACGAGACATTTTACACGACAAATTAACTACAAAGGACAAAGCCTCGGTCAACTTTTTAGCAAGTACTGACTTAAGGACTTTTAACAAAAATCTTGAATTTGCTATATTCACAAATTGTCAGAAAATAAACAACTATTAAAACAACTGTTTTACCAGGTTAAGGCCCACTGAGCTATTTAGCTCTTTTTAGAAGCAACCTGGCCACAAATGATAGCTCAACAAAGTGGCATGTGGCATATGTGGAAAGTTAAAGCAGCCACAAATGCTCGAAACGCACAGATTCTAACTGGAGGGGGGAAACAGGACCCAGAGAAAAATACTCGCAACAACGGGGAGACATGCAAACTCCCAAATTTCCAGCAGGTCTCCGGGGTCAGGATCGAACCCGCGCCCCCTCCTGCATACCAGGGAGAGGTAACATCTCGCCAAGGTGGCGCCATCTCGTTCACAATTTTTTTTTAATGAAAGCAACCGACGCTACTATATTCGTCGGACCTTATTTCATGCGCGTCGTCAATCGCAGCCAAACCCCAGCTCACGTGACTCCTCCAGCCACTCGAGGCTGCTATATTGACAAAGTAAAAACTAAATAAACCACTAATGAAATTGTGACCATGAATTGCAGCAATTCAAAAAGCAAACGAGAGAATCTAGACAACCTCTCCCTCTGCCTTTCATTTTAAGCCATGGGGGGGGGGGCGTGGTACCATGCCAGTTTCCCCTCGCCTTGTTTAAACTTGGCAGCGTTTGTGAGCGCACGTTTATTAGGCCGACCACCGCATGCCGCACTCGTGTGTGTGTATATATGTTTCAATACTTTTAACACGGACGCGTTTTTTTTAGATTTGGTCAATTGAACCTTATGGCGGAACTCAGGGGGGTCCCATAAGTCCCCCCGCGTCGCACAAACTGCGCTGCAACGTCGTTTTATGTCTGCTGAAAGCGAACGACACGGCGATCTGTTCCTCTCGACGAGCTCTACACGGTGCGCTAATCAAAGTTTAAAAGTTTTGTTCCTTCTGCGCAGTTGTCCTCGCTGCGCTTGGGACGACACGACAACAGAGCGATCCGCACCAGGTGAGTCGCGGCGTTTATGCGCGCGGTGGGACGGGAGTCGCCCAAAATAAATAAATTACGATTTTGACTTCCGTTTATTCGGGACCCCCCGGGGGGGGGGGGGTTCCGCCGCCATAAGGTTGAATTCCCTTTAAAAAAAAAAAATGAGCAGCCGTACGAAACTCGCGTCCAGAGGAAGTGAACGCTCTCAAGTGTCGTGTGGAGATATGTCGGCAGCCTGCTTGCTGTACCCACCACCCTACGACGCGGGCATCTTCGCTGCGCAATCATCTCGGAGCGATCCGCCAAACCCCCTCCGCCCCGTGACTCGCTGCGGTACGGGCGCGCGCACGCACGCACGCGCGATACCGAGCCCCGTCAATTACCGACGCTTATTTTACCACGTAAGGCCCCGCTGAGCTGCATAGCTTCTTCCAGAAGCGACCTGGCTATCGCAAACGATAGCTCCAAACGAAGTGGGCTCATCATCATCGCGTGCAAATTTAAAGCGGCCATCAACGCGTGACGTCGATTCTAAATGTGGTGGGGGTGGTGGTGGAAAAACCGGAGGACCCGGAGCAAAGATCCACACGACTACGGGGGAGAACATTCACACTCCGAAATGGTTACAGGCATCGTCAGGGTCGGGTACGAACCCACGACCTCCTGTATAACAGGCGAGGGAGTTAACATCTCCTAGCCACCGTGTCCATCGCAATCGTGACCGCGCGACCCCGCGGTCCTCGCTCGCGCGTTACAACTCGAACGCGGGGAAGCGGGACGTGTCTGGTCTCAGCATGTCCACGAGGAAGTGAATGGTCCCAGCCATACCTGCAGGGGGGGTGTGGGTGTGGGGGAAGTGCAAACATTGTTCTGCTGGCTCATCCACACAACGGCGAGGCACGAACTGCGAGGCAGCGCTCATGAATATACAGCTGCTGCGTGTGCAGCTGTTACACACGAGCGGCTAGATTTTGATTTAAAGCTTTCGTGACTGCAGGGATTCATATTCTTGGTTCTTTCGGTAAAGTCACCACGTAGAAGGGAAACAATAAAATAATAAAAAAATATAAAACAAAAAAAAATTCTCACGACGTTTCGACTGCAACACGAGCAATCATCATCAGGTGTGAAAACCACGGCAAGAAAAATTTGAAAATGTGGCGTGTTTTTTTTTACGTTAGCACTATGGAGAGCGATTTGGCAGTTATTCAGATGGACGATGTTAACTACCTCGCCTGATATACAGGATTGACGTATCAATCTGTGATTTGAAGCTTTCGTGACTGCAGGAATCCCACTCTTTTGGTTCTTTCGGTAAAGTCACGTAAGTAGAAAAATAATAATAGATCATGTGACGTTTCGACCGCAACACAAAGCAATCGTCATCAGATGGGACAACCACGGCAAGAGAAAAAAAAAAGCCTACTTCAGTTTTTTCTTGCTGTGGTTGTCCCACCTGATGACGATTGCTTTGTTGTTTCGATCGAAACGTCACGTGATCTATCATTATTTTTCTACCTACGTGATGACTTTACCAAAAGAACCAAAGAGTAAGGATTGACGTAGTTTCGATCCCGACCGTGATGCGCGTCTCTCCCCCCGTGGGTTCGCGTGGATTTTTCTCCAGGGTCCTCCGGTTTTTCCCTCCGCAATCTGCGTGCATTTAGAGTATCTGGCTGCTTACTCTTTGGTTCTATTCGGTAAAGTCACGTGGGGTAAAAAATAAAACAACAAAAATCACTACGTTTCGGCCACAACACAAGTGGCCTTCATCAGGTGAAGGGACCGTACTGTCCAGAGGACAGCGTTGGGGTGAAGACAGCCAAGCCCAGGTCGCGTCCTTTAGGCTGTGTGAGAGGAAACAAAACGCCTTGACAAAGTAATTAGCATAAAATGCTGTACAGGACCGGCACGGTGGGGGCGGGGGGGGGAGTTTACAAATGTTGGTGTGAAGGGAAATAAGCTGGGAAACAAAAAACGCCTTGACAAAGGAATTTTACTGACGTGATTTTACCGAATAGAACCAAAGAGTATGGATCCTTGCAGTCACGAAAGCTTCAAATCTATATTTGGCTGCTATACATTTCGCAAGTGACAAGCCACTTCGTTGAGCTGTCATATGTGGCTGGGTCGCTTCTGAGAAAGAGCTACATAGCCCAGTGGGCCTTAACCTGGTTAATTGAAACAAGTAAAAGTAAGAAAATTGAGTACCTGGTGTGATGTTTAAACATCGCCACAAGGGAGACAAAGGTGGCCAGGCGCATTGGTGGCCATTCACCCCCCCCCCCCTCACGCCGGCCTTGATAGGCGCTCGCTAACAGCACTTGTCACAATGGTCTGTTAAAGGCTATACGGGGAGCACGATGTGTGTGGGTGTGATGCGTGTACACGCTTGTGCACAGGTGTACACGCTTGTGCACACACGTGAGTGGGGAGCGGTGGTGTAGCGGTTAGCGCGCTGCCCTACGAACCCAGCGACCCGGGTTCGATTCCCGCTCACGGCCAACACTGGTGACGATTATCTGAACCGGTCCTGGGCCTCCCCTAGGTCGACTCAGCGTCAAATAAGTACCTGGTGCGGTGTGTAAACATCGCCACTGGGGAGACAAAGGCGGTCGGGCGTGGTGCTGGCCACCCACCGCCTCGTGTACCGTTCCGGCCTTCATAGGTGCTACTCGCTGACAGAACTTGCCCCAAAAGTCTGTTCAAGGCTATACGGGGGATCTTTGTGTTATACCTTCAAATAGTGAGAAGGGTCGATCTGGAATCCGGCATCCGTGCTTCCCATAATCCAAGCACCACTCCGCAAACTGCAAATCAAGAGTTAGAATCAGAATATTTACACTGCAGGAGGACTCCCATGAGCTATAAAGCTCGAGGGGAGGGCCCATGACCGGTTCAGATAACCGTCACTGGTGTTGGCCATGAGTGGGAATCGAACTCGGGTTGTCGGGTTCGTAGCGCAGCGCGCTAGACACTCTCCACACACACACACAAGCGTGCACACATATGCACACGGACATACGCAGAAAGAGACAAAGATCCTCCATATTATAGCAAGCGATATTGGCATGTGCATATTTAGGCCGGCAAAGCAACGCGGTCGGCAAGACCATCGTGCCCGGTTGCCTTTGTCTCTTAAGTGATGATGTTTATTCACCACACTGGATACTAATTTGAGGCCGAGTCGACCCAGGGGAGGCTCAGGACCGGTTCATGCTACAGTAAAACCTTGGGATTGCGAGTAACTTGGTCTGCGAGTGTTTTGCAAGACGAGCAAACATTTTAAATAACTATTAATTCGATAAACGAGCGAGGTCTTCTTGCAATACGAGCAGTAACGTATACGCTTTATCTGCCGAGCGTCACATGATCACAACTCATATACGAGTGCCCTTGGATTACAAACACGTTTCCGGAACGAATTATGCTCGCAATCCAAGGTTTTACTGTATTCGTCAACGATGTTGGCGATCGGTCATTTGCCAGGTGCAGCTCCCAAGCTCTGGAAGGCTTTGGCTTTGCCGTTAAGAACGATGAGAATCGTGACGCTATATGTAAGTCTGTCTTGAAAACTCGCCTCTTTAAAACTGGCCTTTACCCCTGCCTTGGTTCTGAGTGAGTGAGAGGGTGAGTGAGTGGGTAAACTGGCCTTTACCCCTGCCTTGGTTCTGAGTGAGTGAGTGGGTGAATGCGTGGGTGGGTAAGTGAGTGGGTGGGTGAGTGAGTGGGTGAGTGAGTGGGTGAGTAGATGAGTAGGTGAGCGAGTGGTTGCGTGAGAGGGTGAGTGAGTAGGTAAACTGGCCTTTACCACCCATTAGATCTGGCCGTTTACCCTGGTTCTGAGTGGGTGGGTAAGTGAGTGGGTGGGTGGGTAAGTAAGTGGGTGGGTGAGTGAATGGGTGAGTGAGTGGGTGGGTGAGTGAATGAGTGGGTGAGTGAGTGGATAAGTGAGTAGATGAGTAGGTGAGCGAGTGGGTAAACTGGCCTTTACCACCCATTAGTTCTGGCCGTTTACCCTGGTTCTGAGTGGGTGGGTGAGTGGGTGGTTGAGTGGGTGGGTGAGTGGGTGGGTGGGTGAGTGAGTGAATGGGTGAGTGAGTGGTTGAGTGAGTGGGTGAGCGAGTAGATGAGTAGGTGAGCGAGTGGTTGCATGAGAGGGTGAGTGAGTGGATAAACTGGCCTTTACCCCCCCCCCCCCACTAGTTCTAGCCATTTACCCTCCATATCCTGCCTACCTCCTGGCTTTCCATACACGGTGGCGCATTGGTTGGGATCTACGGATGAAATGCGCCACGTTACAATTTGCAAAATTATTCTTGCCGAACACGCACGCGGGGAGCGGGGGGAGGGAGGGGGGGGGGGGGGGTGCTGCGGCGAGGGGGAGCGCCGTGACGTACTCGGCACGCGCGGTACAGGTGCCCGTGCTCGCCCGTGGCGCGGTACAGCGCCAGGAAGGTGTAGGCGTTGCCCGCGACGCCGTGGCACAGGCCGTAGCCCTTGCGCAGGAGGCCGCGCTGCCACACCACCTCGCCGCACTCGAGCGCGTCACGCAGGTACTTTTCTTCCCCAAACGCCTGCCGTGAGCGTGCACGCACAGAGACGCGAAGAATCCCCGTCATCGCCGTCGGCAGGCCCCCACCCCGGGGGTTTGTGGACCAGCGGTGGCCACCCGCCGTCTAACCCACAACGCGTACTGTCACGGGAAGCAGAGAATGATGAATGTCTCGCGTGCTCTGCCAAAAACTGCCTAGAAATATATACACATATACAGGGGCTCCTCTACTTGCGAACGAGCTAGGTTCCAGAGGTCCGTTGGTAAGTCGATTTGTTCGCACGTCCAACTTTTCTGCTGTCGATTGCAAACACGTTGTACGGCGTGCACGCTAAACACGGGGAATGGTTTTAACAGTTGTACAATCTCCTGTACATGTAGACGCCACTGGTTCTTCATGTTCTGCAAATGTAGATGCCGCCACCACCACCACCACCACCATCCATTGCGTGGCGGTTGAACTCATGGCTCGGTCCGAACAGGCAACTGGACATGCGGACAGGTCTGAAAGTTCGTAAGTCGAACGTCCGTAACTCGAGGAGTCCCTGTATGCGCGCACTTGGCTCTTTGCAGAACTCATCGGCACTTTGTGGCTCTTGGCCCGTTACAGGTTGGCCACTGCCGGTGTTCACAAATGCATTCTCCGGCTCTTATCGTCCATCTCTCTTATCTCACTATTGGGCTCGCTCTCTCTCTCTCTCTCTGCGTAACGCTAAGAAGGGCGCGCGCGTTGCCGCTCACCCGGTGCGCCTGCAGGAGGGCGTGCACCACGCCCGGCGCGCCGTGGCACCAGTGCACCAGGCGGTCGGACTCGTTGCTGAGCGACGAGGGGAAGTTCCCCGAGCGGAAGCGCTTGCGCCGCACGTAGTCCACGCTGGGCTTCACCAGCTCCGCCGACGCCTCCTTGTTCATGCCGGCGCCCGGCTGCCGAGGCCGGGCGCGCGCACACACACACACCGCGCGGGGGAGGGGGGGGGGGGGAGCGGAAACCGTCGTCGCCAGATATTCCCGGTCATCCTTGCGGACGAATTTTTGTTTTTTTCTGCTGACAAACGCTAACCGTCGCTCAGCCGTTAGGTCTGACCATCTAACAATTCCCTTGCGGTGCAAAAGAAGCTCAACGCACACATGCGCCGGGAAACACAGCGCCGACGCACAAGCGTTGCGACCCTCCCTTCTCGTGGGCGCCTAGGAGGAGGCGGTGCCGTACCCCCGGCTCGCCAGGAGAAGGCGGTATGGCAAAGATTCTAGATTTGAAGCTTTCGTGACTGCAAGGATTCCATACTCTTTGGTTCTATTCGGTAAAGTCGCGTAGGTCGGGACGACAAGAGTTTCAATGCACTGAAGCTCTGTCGTCCCGACAGTTCTGTTCCTTCACCTGAAGAAGGCTACTTGCGTTGTGGCCGCAACGTCGTGATTTTTGTTGTTTTATTTTTTACCTACGTGACTTTGCCGAATAGAACCAGAGAGTATGGCAAAGATGTGGACCTCGTCTTTGAGGGATAGAGCGTCGACCCCTCTCCGAGAGCGAGGAGCGAATGCCGTGCGGCGAAGAGTTAAGAGCCGAAATCATCCACGAGCGGCGAAACCGCGTCTTGCGTACACATGCATCTTGGCAAGCTAGAAGCTTTCGCGTTCGTTTTAGAATTCCAGGAGGCAAGAGAAGTCTCATTCACAAGGGTGAGTCGGGGGTCACTGAAACGATGAAAACAAAAAGCAAAGTACAGCATTGAAGTAAAATACCGAAAACATTTGTAGATACCATCCCCCCATATACTCCGAAACCTTTCGGAGCTTTGCTGCAACTGTCTTCTGCACCCCACCGCGTAAGCCCATAACACCTGTGATGCACGGCGGTCATCCGATACAAGTGCTATCCAGGCGCAATTCTGCCAACACGGTGTGGTGATGCGTGGTACACGGTGTGGTGGTACACGGTGTGGTGATACACAGTGTGGTGATGCGTGGTACACGGTGTGGTGATACACGGTGTGGAAATACATGGTGTGGTGATGCGTGGTACATGGTGTGGTGATGAGTGGTACACGGTGTGGTGATACATGGTGTGGTGATGCGTGGTACATAGTGTGGTGATACACGGTGTGGTGATGCGTGGTACACAGTGTGGTGATGAGTGGTACACGGTGTCGTGATACACGGTGTGGTTATGCGTGGTACACAGTGTGGTGATGCGTGGTACACAGTATGGTGATGCGTGGTACACGGTGTGGTGATGCGTGGTACACGGTGTGGTGATACACGGTGTGGTGATACACGGTGTGGTGATGCGTGGTACACAGTGTGATGATGTGTGGTACACAGTGTGGTGATGCGTGGTACACGGTGTGGTGATGTGTGGTACACAGTGTGGTGATACACGGTGTGGTGATGCGTGGTACACAGTGCGATGATGCATGGTACACAGCGCTGTGATACATGGTACACAGCGCTGTGATGCGTGGTACACAGCGCTGTGATACATGGTACACAGTGCGATGATGCGTGGTACACAGCGCTGTGATGCGTGGTACACAGTGCGATGATGCATGGTACACAGCGCTGTGATGCATGGTACACAGTGCGATGATACATGGTACAGCGCTGTGATGCATGGTACACAGCGCTGTGATGCATGGTACACAGTGCGATGATACATGGTACACAGCGCTGTGATGCATGGTACACAGTGCGATGACGCGTGGTACACAGTGCGATGATGCATGGTCCACAGCGCTGTGATGCATGGTCCACAGCGCTGTGACGCGTGGTACACGGCGCTGTGATGCGTGGTACACAGCGCTGTGATGCATGGTACACAGTGCGATGATGCGTGGTACACAGCGCTGTGATGCGTGGTACACGGCGCTGTGACGCGTGGTACACAGTGCTGTGATGCGTGGTACACAGCGCTGTGATGCATGGTACACAGCGCTGTGATGCATGGTACACAGTGCGATGATGCGTGGTACACAGCGCTGTGACGCGTGGTCCACAGCGCTGTGACGCGTGGTACACGGTGCGATGATGCATGGTCCACAGCGCTGTGATGCATGGTACACAGTGCGATGATGCATGGTACACAGTGCGATGACGCATGGTACACAGCGCTGTGATGCATGGTACACGGTGCGATGATGCGCGTGGCAACACGGCGTGGCGATGCGACTGGCGCGGAGTGCGTGCACGCACCTGCATGAGCATGTAGTAGATGCCGGCGAGACCGTGAGCCGCCCCCACGTACTGCTTGCCGTGCCACTGGTAGAGCAGAGGGCACCGCTCAGCCCTGCGCTCCGTTACTGCCAGGGCCTTGCCCGACTCCACCAGCGCCAGGCGCACCTACGCGCGCGCAGCAAGACAAAGGTCCCCCGTGTGGCCTCCAACGGGGCTGTCGGCGCGCACATGCGCTGGTAGCGGCGAGCACTTACGATCGGCCGACGACGTTTGCACACCGCACCCAAGTGCCCGTTTGAGGCTGAGTCAACCTAGGGAAGGTCGAGTACCGGCCCGGATGATCGTCACCGGTGCTGGCTGCGAGCGGGAATCGAACTCGGGTCGCCGGGTTCGTGGCGCTGTGCGCTAACCACTACGGTACCGCTAGCCACCACGCGCCCACACGAGGACAGGTAAGCACACGCGCAGAAACGCGCACACCTGACATGCGTGGACACACATGTAGTGACATCGCGGGATGTCACCGCATACTGCCGGGTCTAGAGAGGCACGGCGTGTGGTGTAACGACACCACTCTGGTGTGGGTGCAGTACCGGTCCTAGAGGGGCTCGGTCAGCGCTGATTGACAGCGCTGGATGACACCACGCTTGGAGTGCAGTGCCAGCCCCTACAGGATAGGGTGTGGGAGTACCGGCCGAAGGAACGAGGTTACTCAAGGCCATGGCACTCTGGTTGACCCAAGAGGACACAAGTCTACAAAGGGGCCCCGTGTGGGGGGCTAGGGGTGGTCACGTGGTCGGGGTCCAGATCCTGCTCGAGGATTCTGGAAGGTGGGCGTGGCCAAGGGCGGAGCCGGCCATGCCACAGAGAATATCAGCCGGGTCCCCCAGAGGGGCCGGCGTTGTTGTTCATCCTGAAGAAACCTTCGTCTACGTTCTACGTCCTACAGAGTCTCCAACACGTGGACGTGGACCCGAGCCGTGGTCCCGGTCAGTAGTAGCTAGTAACGTTGTAACTAGTGTAGTTAGCCTGGTGGTCACCACCCGGCTAACTACACCAGTCACATGGTAACTAGTGTAGCTAGCCTGGTGGTCACCACCAGGCTAACTACACCAGTCACGTGGTAACTAGTGTAGCTAGCCTGGTGGTCACCACCTGGCTAACTACACCAGTCACGTGGTAACTAGTGTAGTTAGCCTGGTGGTCACCACCAGGCTAACTACACCAGTCACGTGGTAACTAGTGTAGCTAGCCTGGTGGTCACCACCTGGCTAGCTACACCAGTCACGTGGTAACTAGTGTGTTGGTGTTAAATGAATGTGTTGCCTCCTGAGCGTACGTCTGCGACTCAGTTGAACTCACTGCACACACACCAGACCCTCGCTCCACCTGCGACACCGCGCTCGTAGTAGACTGGCGCGCTCCTTCGCCTCGTCCTTGTGAACCATAGTCAGAGAATATGGTTCACAAGGACGTGGGCTCCACCTCGCCGTTGCAATGCACAAGAGAGCCTGGCAGGGGTCGTGGAGTTCAAGACGAGGCGAAGCAAGGGTGGATGAGGGGATTCACCTCGTAGAGTCAGGGAAGGGAATTCACGATGAGGTGGAGGAAGCGTAGAAGTGGGCCCCACCTCGTCGTCACAATGCTCAGTCAGATAAGTGGATTTAACGATGAGGTGGAGGAAGCGTAGAAGTGGGCCCCACCTCGTCGTCACAATGCTCAGGGAGACGGGCAGGGGGAGGGAGCTCGAGACGAGGTGGCGGAGCAAGGTCGGAGAGGTGCGTGTACGCGACAGTGTCGACTGCACCTCGTCGATGACCCCGGCGGGGACGGCCTCTTCCCCAAGCTCGGCGCGCACGTAGAGCAGCGCGAAGAGGAAGCCCGCGCGGCCGTAGAGCACCTCGTCCGGGACATCCGACTCCAGCGCCACCACCGAGCTCTTCAGCTCCAGCAGTCTTGCTCGTCGCAGCGGCAGTAACAGCGGCGGCAGTAACAGCAGCAGCAGCAGCAGCAACCATCAGTGAGAGAAGCAGCTGTAACAGCAGCAGCTGTAACATCAGTAAGAGGAGCAGCAGTAAAGGTATTTGTAACAGCAGCAGTATAGCCTTGTAACACAGGGGGGGTCCCCAACCCCCGGCCCGCGGGCTGCTACCGGTCCGTGGCCTGCTAGGAACCGGGCCGCACAGCAGCAGCAGGAGGTGAGAGCGGTGAGTCCGCACGTGGCCCGCCCCATTATTTTATTATTTACCACTTCCGTCCGCGCCTCTTTCCCGCACTGCGCACTTGTCTCAGTCACGTGGTGTTGGTAAGCCCACAAGCTCTAACCCCTAGTAGCCACAATGAGTAAGCCCACAAGCTCTAACCCCTAGTAGCCACAATGAGTAAGCCCACAAGCTCTAACCCCTAGTAGCCACAATGAGTAAGCCCACAAGCTAACCCCTAGTAGCCACAATGAGTAAGCCCACAAGCTCTAACCCCGAGTAGCCACAATGAGTAAGCCCACAAGCTCTAACCCCTAGTAGCCACAATGAGTAAGCCCACAAGCTCTAACCCCTAGTAGCCACAATGAGTAAGCCCACAAGCTAACCCCTAGTAGCCACAATGAGTAAGCCCACAAGCTCTAACCCCTAGTAGCCACAATGAGTAAGCCCACAAGCTAACCCCTAGTAGCCACAATGAGTAAGCCCACAAGCTCTAACCCCCTAGTAGCCACAATGAGTAAGCCCACAAGCTCTAACCCCTAGTAGCCACAATGAGTAAGCCCACACGCTCTAACCCCTAGTAGCCACAATGAGTAAGCCCACAAGCTAACCCCTAGTAGCCACAATGAGTAAGCCCACAAGCTCTAACCCCCTAGTAGCCACAATGAGTAAGCCCACAAGCTCTAACCCCTAGTAGCCACAATGAGTAAGCCCACAATCTAACCCCTAGTAGCCACAATGAGTAAGCCCACAGGCTAACCCCTAGTAGCCAGAATGAGTAAGCCCACAAGCTCTAACCCCTAGTAGCCACAATGAGTAAGCCCACAAGCTCTAACCCCTAGTAGCCACAATGAGTAAGCCCACAAGCTAACCCCTAGTAGCCACAATGAGTAAGCCCACAAGCTAACCCCTAGTAGCCACAATGAGTAAGCCCACAAGCTAACCCCCTAGTAGCCACAATGAGTAAGCCCACAAGCTAACCCCTAGTAGCCACAATGAGTAAGCCCACAAGCTAACCCCCTAGTAGCCACAACGAGTAAGCCCACAAGCTAACCCCTAGTAGCCACAATGAGTAAGCCCACAAGCTAACCCCTAGTAGCCACAATGAGTAAGCCCACAAGCTAACCCCTAGTAGCCACAATGAGTAAGCCCACAAGCTCTAACCCCTAGTAGCCACAATGAGTAAGCCCACAAGCTAACCCCCTAGTAGCCACAATGAGTAAGCCCACAAGCTCTAACCCCTAGTAGCCACAATGAGTAAGCCCACAAGCTAACCCCCTAGTAGCCACAATGAGTAAGCCCACAAGCTGACCCCTAGTAGCCACAATGAGTAAGCCCACAAACTAACCCCCTAGTAGCCACAATGAGTAAGCCCACAAGCTCTAACCCCCTAGTAGCCACAATGAGTAAGCCCACAAGCTGACCCCTAGTAGCCACAATGAGTAAGCCCACAAACTAACCCCCTAGTAGCCACAATGAGTAAGCCCACAAGCTCTAACCCCTAGCAGCCACAATGAGTAAGCCCACAAGCCCACAAGCTAACCCCTAGTAGCCACAATGAGTAAGCCCACAAGCTCTAACCCCTAGTAGCCACAATGAGTAAGCCCACAAGCTAACCCCTAGTAGCCACAATGAGTAAGCCCACAGGCTAACCCCTAGTAGCCACAATGAGTAAGCCCACAAGCTAACCCCTAGTAGCCACAATGAGTAAACCCACAAGCTCTAACCCCTAGTAGCCACAATGAGTAAGCCCACAAGCTAACCCCTAGTAGCCACAATGAGTAAACCCACAAGCTCTAACCCCTAGTAGCCACAATGAGTAAGCCCACAAGCTGACCCCTAGTAGCCACAATGAGTAAGCCCACAAGCTAACCCCTAGTAGCCACAATGAGTAAGCCCACAAGCTCTAACCCCTAGTAGCCACAATGAGTAAGCCCACAAGCTGACCCCTAGTAGCCACAATGAGTAAGCCCACAAGCTGACCCCTAGTAGCCACAATGAGTAAGCCCACAAGCTAACCCCTAGTAGCCACAATGAGTAAACCCACAAGCTAACCCCTAGTAGCCACAATGAGTAAACCCACAAGCTAACCCCTGGTAGCCACAATGAGTAAGCCCACAAGCTAACCCCTAGTAGCCACAATGAGTAAGCCCACAAGCTAACCCCTAGTAGCCACAATGAGTAAGCCCACAAGCTGACCCCTAGTAGCCACAATGAGTAAGCCCACAAGCTAACCCCTAGTAGCCACAATGAGTAAGCCCACAAGCTCTAACCCCCTAGTAGCCACAATGAGTAAGCCCACAAGCTCTAACCCCTAGTAGCCACAATGAGTAAGCCCACAAGCTCTAACCCCTAGTAGCCACAATGAGTAAGCCCACAAGCTAACCCCTAGTAGCCACAATGAGTAAGCCCACAAGCTCTAACCCCCTAGTAGCCACAATGAGTAAGCCCACAAGCTCTAACCCCTAGTAGCCACAATGAGTAAGCCCACAATCTAACCCCTAGTAGCCACAATGAGTAAGCCCACAGGCTAACCCCTAGTAGCCACAATGAGTAAGCCCACAAGCTCTAACCCCTAGTAGCCACAATGAGTAAGCCCACAAGCTCTAACCCCTAGTAGCCACAATGAGTAAGCCCACAAGCTAACCCCTAGTAGCCACAATGAGTAAGCCCACAAGCTAACCCCTAGTAGCCACAATGAGTAAGCCCACAAGCTAACCCCCTAGTAGCCACAATGAGTAAGCCCACAAGCTAACCCCTAGTAGCCACAATGAGTAAGCCCACAAGCTAACCCCCTAGTAGCCACAACGAGTAAGCCCACAAGCTAACCCCTAGTAGCCACAATGAGTAAGCCCACAAGCTAACCCCTAGTAGCCACAATGAGTAAGCCCACAAGCTAACCCCTAGTAGCCACAATGAGTAAGCCCACAAGCTCTAACCCCTAGTAGCCACAATGAGTAAGCCCACAAGCTAACCCCCTAGTAGCCACAATGAGTAAGCCCACAAGCTCTAACCCCTAGTAGCCACAATGAGTAAGCCCACAAGCTAACCCCCTAGTAGCCACAATGAGTAAGCCCACAAGCTGACCCCTAGTAGCCACAATGAGTAAGCCCACAAACTAACCCCCTAGTAGCCACAATGAGTAAGCCCACAAGCTCTAACCCCCTAGTAGCCACAATGAGTAAGCCCACAAGCTGACCCCTAGTAGCCACAATGAGTAAGCCCACAAACTAACCCCCTAGTAGCCACAATGAGTAAGCCCACAAGCTCTAACCCCTAGCAGCCACAATGAGTAAGCCCACAAGCCCACAAGCTAACCCCTAGTAGCCACAATGAGTAAGCCCACAAGCTCTAACCCCTAGTAGCCACAATGAGTAAGCCCACAAGCTAACCCCTAGTAGCCACAATGAGTAAGCCCACAGGCTAACCCCTAGTAGCCACAATGAGTAAGCCCACAAGCTAACCCCTAGTAGCCACAATGAGTAAACCCACAAGCTCTAACCCCTAGTAGCCACAATGAGTAAGCCCACAAGCTAACCCCTAGTAGCCACAATGAGTAAACCCACAAGCTCTAACCCCTAGTAGCCACAATGAGTAAGCCCACAAGCTGACCCCTAGTAGCCACAATGAGTAAGCCCACAAGCTAACCCCTAGTAGCCACAATGAGTAAGCCCACAAGCTCTAACCCCTAGTAGCCACAATGAGTAAGCCCACAAGCTGACCCCTAGTAGCCACAATGAGTAAGCCCACAAGCTGACCCCTAGTAGCCACAATGAGTAAGCCCACAAGCTAACCCCTAGTAGCCACAATGAGTAAACCCACAAGCTAACCCCTAGTAGCCACAATGAGTAAACCCACAAGCTAACCCCTGGTAGCCACAATGAGTAAGCCCACAAGCTAACCCCTAGTAGCCACAATGAGTAAGCCCACAAGCTAACCCCTAGTAGCCACAATGAGTAAGCCCACAAGCTGACCCCTAGTAGCCACAATGAGTAAGCCCACAAGCTAACCCCTAGTAGCCACAATGAGTAAACCCACAAGCTAACCCCTAGTAGCCACAGTGAGTAAAAAACAAACGTAGCTGGAGAGCTTCTTTGAAAAGGGGGAAATTATGAACCCCCCCCCCCCGTCCGTGAAAAAAATTGTCTTCCATGAAACCGGGTCCCTGGTGCCAAAAATGTCGGGGACCGCTGCTGTAACAGCCTGTTGGGGTAACTGCTGTTAGCGAGTAGCACCTATGAAGGCCGGCACGGTACATGAAGGCGTGGGTGGCCAGCACCACGCCCAGCCGCTTTTGTCTCCCCAGTGGCGATGTTTACACACCGCCACCGGGAATTCATTTGAGGCTGAGTCAACCTAGGGGTGGCCCGGGACTGGTTCAGATAATCGTCACTGGTGTTGGCCGTGAGCGGGAATGGAACTCGGGTGGCCGGGTTCGAAGCGCAGCGTAGCGCTAACCGCTGCGGCAACACCGCTCCCCACGCACGTGAGCGCGCGCACGCACGCACGCACACACGCGCCACTCACTGGTGCACACACACACACACGCGCACCACTCACTGGTACACACACACACACGCGCACCACTCACTGGTACACACACACACACACACGCGCACCACTCACTGGTACACACACACACACACACGCGCACCACTCACTGGTGCACACACACACACGCGCACCACTCACTGGTACACACACACACACACGCGCACCACTCACTGGTACACACACACACGCGCACCACTCACTGGTGCACACACACACACACGCGCACCACTCACTGGTACACACACACACGCGCACCACTCACTGATGCACACACACACACGCGCACCACTCACTGGTACACACACACACACACGCGCCACTCACTGGTGCACACACACACACACGCGCCACTCACTGGTGCACACACACACACACACGCGCCACTCACTGGTGCACACACACACACACACGCGCCACTCACTGGTGCACACACACACACACGCGCACCACTCACTGGTACACACACACACACACGCGCCACTCACTGGTGCACACACACACACACGCGCACCACTCACTGGTACACACACACACACACGCGCACCACTCACTGGTGCACACACACACACACGCGCACCACTCACTGGTGCACACACACACACACGCGCACCACTCACTGGTGCACACACACACACACACGCGCACCACTCACTGGTGCACACACACACACACACACGCGCGCCACCACTCACTGACGCGCGCCACCACTCACTGGCGCGCGCCACCACTCACTGGCGCACGCCACCACTCACTGGCGCACGCACTCCCGGCTGTCGTCGGCGTTGCCGAGCTTGTGGTGCACGACGGCGCCGAGCGCCAGCGGCCCCGCGTCGCCGCACAGGAAGGAGACGCGGCGGCCCGAGAGGCCGCGCAGCGAGCGCTTGGCGTGGTCCAGCGCCCGCTGCAGCTGCCCCGGCTCCCCCTGCACACGGTGCAGCTGCACGTACAGGAGGCCGATGCCTGCACACGCAGTGTACGCAAAGACAAAGATCCCCCATGTGGCCTTCATCAGAACGTTAGGGGCAGGTGCTGTTCGCGAGTAGCGGCACCTATGAAGGCCGGCACTGTGGCACACCAGGGGGTGGATGGCCAGCACCATGCCCGACAATGTTTAAACACCGCATAAGGTACTTATTTAAGGCTGAGTCGACCTACGGGAGGCCTGGGACCAATTTCGATAAACACATACACTGGACTACTCACACTACAATACACACCGCAAACACAAACACACAGACGAGTGCGAGAGAGTGAGCGGGAGGGTGAGTGAGCGGGAGGGCGAGTGAGCGGGAGAGCGAGTGAGTGGGAGAGCGAGTGGGTGAGCGAGACAGCGAGTGGGCGAGTGAGCGGGAGAGCGAGTGAGTGGGAGTGCGAGTGGGCGAATGAGCGGGAGAGCGAGTGGGCGAATGAGCGGGAGAGCGAGTGGGTGAGCGAGAGAGCGGGTGGGTGAGCGAGAGAGCGAGCCAGCCAGAAGAGCGAGTGAGCAGGACAGAGAGTGAGCTGGAGAGCGAGCGGGCCCGTCCACCTCACCTGTCCAGCCTGTGTAGCCCGAGTAGTCGTGGGGGTCAGCCGTCTTCAGCCCCTCCTCCATCTGTGCCACCAGGTCATGGATCTTCGCAGTCAGGCGTCCCTCGAACGCCGTGCTGATCTGCCTCGACGGAGGCAAGAGATGTGATCACAGTTATCGCTACCTCCCGGGTAAAGTGTTTTTGCAGACCCCGAAGACTGCCCGGACACCATGAAGCCGTGCGTGGCGGCTCACGCCTTGCGACCCCAACGCTGCCATACATTTAACACGTGATGATAAGCCACGTGGGTTCGATCCCGACCCTGACGCCTGTAAATTTGGAGTTTGCGTGTTCTCCCCGTAGTCGTGTGGATGATTTTAACGTGCATTTATACTATCTGGCTGCTATACATTTCCACGTGATAAGCCACTTCGTTGAGCTATCGTTTATGGGCAGGTCGCTTCTGAAAAAGAGAGCTGAAGGGCTCAGTGGGCCTTACTTGGTAAAATAAAAAAAAATGTTTATAGGTTTATCCACAAGACAACTGCTGTTGGCTTCCCCACAAAGTGGTACCAATTTTCTTAGCTCTTTCGGTAAAGTCACGTTGAAGGGAAACAATAAAATAATAAAATATATAAAACAATAAAAATTCTCACGACGTTTCGACTATAACACAAACGTGACTTTACCGAAAGAGCTAAGAATATGAATTACTGCAGTCACGAAAGCTTTAAATCAAAATTTGGTACCAATTTATCGACCCCGAAGTAAGGGATGATGGGCCGAGTCAACCCCCAAGCAGGCTTTGAACTTGCGACCTTTTGAATGACGAGCTGCTCGCTCTGCCACAGTCGCGCTTCTGAAAAAGAGTTAAATAGCTCAGTGGGCCTTACCTGGCAAAATAAAAAATAGTTTAAGTAGATTTTTTTTTCGTGTGATTTGCTTACCTTTCCTATACTTTGCACTCCTATTGTGTTTTTGTATTGTTTTGTTCGTCGGATGCCTCCGGCGTAAATAAAGAATGTGATTCTGTGGGTGAATCGCGTACATATGACAAACTCTCCGTGTTATGCGGCGTGGTTCCGTAGATGGCAGCAGTGTGAGTTGTGCGAGTGAACCCGTCTGTGCGAACCTCTTTAAGGGTTCTGCCCTCATATGTGTGGTGGGTTTTCTCTCGAAGCTCCGGTTTCCTCCAATGCAAAACACGTGTTTGAATGTAAAGCAGTGTGAAGCCTCATATTGGTGCTCGCAAAGCACTGTGGCTGACTAACATAACGTTCAATCTTGACTTGAAGCTTTCGTGACTGCAGGAATCCATAGCCTTTGGTTCTTTATACCTACGTGACTTTACCGAAAGAGCCAAAGAGCAACATAACGTTACCTTATTTGCATTGATAGAGGGCTGGGCATCACGTTACATTACATGCTTGTGAGATCCACCCAGGTGACGCTGCTGTTAACTTTCTCACTCTGGGTTAATTTTCTATTCGGGTATCTGTTAAGACCATCGTCTCTATCGGGGGGGGGGGGGTCGATAAAATTGGTACTACTTTGTAGGAGTTAAGAGTAGCCATCCTCCGGGAGAGACTGTTTCAGTTTCAGTTCAGTTTTATTTATTAGGTAAAGCCCTGTGAGCCATTCGGCTCTTGAATTGGGTGCAACCGCAACAAACAAAAACGTGAACAAGAAAACATCTTAAAGTGACTAAGCACAACAGAAAAATCCAGGTAAAAACAGCAAAGTCTTCCAGAAAAAGCACCGTGTATCAACGCTGTGTGCAAAAATCCCAGTGGGATGCAAGTCAAACAACAACAACCATAAGACAATTTTGATTCAAGTTATCGGTCTAACTCTGTACTACAACAAACAAATATGGCTAAACCAAAACGTTTTCGAAATCACCAAATGAAGCTATAAAAACAATGTTAACAGTGATCATAGGAACTGTGATTCACATTTAACAATAAAGGATATACATAACATGTACGACCAGACTTTGCAGCCATAGCTGGCAGCATGAGTCACTCCACAACAGCAGGAGTATCAGTAGCAGTATCAACATTTTTCAATGCAGCTGCCGTGAAAATGTGGAGACACTCCGAATTGACTTCTTGCAAAAAACACACGGCATCGTGTTGTACAAAAAAAAGACAAAGATCCCCCGTATAGCCTGTAACAGACTGTTTGGGCAAGTGCTGTCAGTCGAGCACCTACGAAGGCCGGCAAGGCACACGAAGGGGGTGAGTGGCCAGAACCATGTAAATGCGTCATTAATTCAATAAAACATGTTTAAAGTCCTTTAACAATGCACTGCTGGATGAAGGATTCCCCACGGCCATGTCGGCCAAGATTCATTATTTTAACCATACTTCACCATACCAGTCACAGTTGGTGAAGATCGGGGGAGAGGGGGGCGGTGGGAATTGACGCGAGAGCATAGAAGAACAGGACAATATTTTAAGTTGCTGTACTACCTTCTGCCGCCCACATGGCAAAAACACATTCCTGCGGAGGGAGCTGGTAGGAACGTCGGGTTGCTCGGTCAATGGCCAGGGTCAACGGCGGCACCACGTGGTGTATTCCGCACAATATGCACGACTGTGAGGGCGGGCACAAGCCGGCGTGAGTAGGTTAAACGTTGAGTTTTATAAGGGCACCACGGGGTGACCAGCCCCTCCCCACCCAGCCCCTCCCCACCCTCCCCTCCCTCCCCTCTCATTTTTTGTATGCACGACGGACGGACGGACACAATAATCCCCTGTGGGCTGGTGGTGTAACCAGGAGGTTCCTACCAGTATAAACCTTGCCTATGACACCCTGCCATGCACTAGTCACCCATCCAACATCCAACCCAGGTTCAAACACGCTTAGCTTTAAGATTGTACAGCAATACAACATAAAGTTGAATCACATCACTTTATCCTAATATACGCAGCATTGCCAGCCTATGTTATGAACTTGCTTTTAAAGAGTTATAATCATTGATGATCCCATTATAACATTATGGAGCGACATGGTTACTCAAATGTAACAGGGTGCGGTCCATATGTCTGGTGACCTCCCATTTAATTCTCTCAAACTTAATAGTTTTATTTCGATTTAAAGCTTTCGTGACTGCAAGGATTCATCTTCTACGTGACTTTACCGAAAGAACCAAAGAAGATTAATAGTTTTAAGTAAGGTTTATTTTTAAAAAGCAATTAAAAATGCAAAGTTTAAAAATTTTTTAGGGGTAAATGAATTAGAGGGGGGGTGTCACAAGACATCTGGACCACCCCCTCCTGCATCCAGTACAGTACAAAGAACATCACACGCACTGTACAGTTTAAGTTTTCACATTAACCTCAGCCGACAGCTATCCACTGCTGGATGAAGACAACCGTCCTCACCGTCCTACCGACGGAGTAATTATTATAATCCACCGCTGATTTAAATCGCTCCCATCTCCGCGGCCGAGGAGAACCCCTTCTAGGTCGAGTTTCCGTATGCTGCACTCGGGCGCAGAATGTAACATTTAGAATGAGTATTTAACAACAACAAAAAAATCAGTTGTTATTTATCGCGAACAGGGGGCAAGACAGCGCGTACCAAAGGCGCGGTTTTTTTTTCCAACACGAGGGAGACGGAGCGATGCGGAACGTTTGCCTTTGCGGGATCGCGAAAGACGAGGCAGACCATGCCCGGCAAAGATGATGATAATAATGATGATGATGATAATGTGCTCATTCGTTTTTCGGTATAATATACGGCGTACGAATACAGTAAATCGCGCGTGATTTTCAGTATGCACCTCACACGGCCGCTGAAAAATAGATATATATTATAACGCAACATTTAAAAAAAAACAATCGTGCGTGTGGAGTGCGTGCACTTTGCGTGGTTCTAAAGCAAACGCTGTGCGTGGTATGCATCGAATGTTGATCAACACGATTCGGGGCCTAGAGAGCCACCGACCCTCGGATAGAGACCCCCGCCGGGATTGGCGCGCCTGGCCCGGCTGCCGATCGTGGCCGCGCACCCCCCCCCCACCCCGGTTCAGCAACACCACCAACAACAACAAAAAATCCCGATTTAAGGTATCAAACAGCACAACAAACAACAACGGTTACCTTCCCCGAAGCGTCGAATAAATCCACGGGAGGCTGTGCCGAGTTATATTCCGCGTAGGGGTTCTGGAAATACCTCTCCTCCATCTCGTCAGCTTCCGACTTAAAGCGCTTCGACATGGCCTCTCCCATCACCACCACCACCACGAACAACAACAACTTCTCGTCAACCACACGGCACGCGCACTTAACGCAATAGCTACAACCCTCCTAAAATTATGCAAACAACAGCAATTTGCACAGCATCACAAAAATATTTTTTTTGCACCGTCGGTTTAAAATAAAATAAAACGTTTAAAAACAAAAACAAAATCTACGCTGAGGTAAATTGTCCGCCCGTGCCTTTTTGCGGCACAAACGATCAGATGACATTCAACGATAAACGGTTGCTTGGCAATGCGGTGACGAGCGGATCGATGGGTTTAATTAAGACGATAGCGGTGTGTAATGTTGTGCCGCGATGTTGTTGACGCGCAGTCCTCTACGCACTGTGAGAGGAGTTCGCGGCCACCAACGCCGGCCACGAAGCGGGAACTTACCCCCCGCCCGCCCGCCCCTAGGTGGACTCAGCCTCAAACGAGTACCCGGTGCGATGTGTCAGTATCGCCACTGGGGAGACAAAGGCGGCCGCGCGTGGTGCTGGCTGGCCGGCCCCCCTCCCCACCCACCCACATTCACAGGTGGCTTAATCTTCGACGGCACTCGCCCCAAACAGTCTGTTAGGGCTACACGGGGGGGGGGGGTCTTTGTCTGTGGGGCCGTCCATAAATGACGTCACGCGATTTTGTACGATTTTTGACCCCCCCCCCCCTCGTCACAAAGAGTCAGACCCCCCTCAAATATGACGTCACAAAGCTCTGCCCCCACCCCCCGCCACCAATTTTTGTTTTTTAACTTGCTTCAAATCGCTTTAAACTATTGTCATTGTAGCGCGTATTGAATGTGGCGCTGCACTCTGATGTTGTAGGAGAAAACATTTATTTTAAAAGTCTATTTAATTAAGTAGAACGTGTTGTCTATATTTATTTAAAGTTGCGCATTTTGATGTGACGTCACATTTCTCAAACCCCACCCCCTCGTCGTCACACATTGTCACAAATGTCTGACCCCCTCCCCCCCTCCTAGGTGCGTGACGTCATTTATCGACGACCCCCTAAGGCAGACATGGGCAAAGTACGGCCCGGGGGCCGTATACGGCCCGTTGGGCTTTTTAATCCGGCCCGCCGAACTTGTCCCAATATTATTATTATTAAATTAAATTTTACCTTTCTCCTGTAATGCCCCCATTTCCCCATTAGATGGCGCACTTTGACCGGGAGATACGACATGTTTTTTTTATTGTTCATGTTCGTGCAATTTGTTAAATTGCCTCGCAAATAAATGCCTTGCTACCTGTTAAAGGCCAAATCCTTTCATGTAATGATTTTTTAACACGTCATTTATATTAGTTCACACAAACACTCCATCCATCTAGTTCCTGACCCGGCCCCTCTGTCAAATTTTTGAACCCATTGTGGCCCGCGAGTCAAAAAAATTTGCCCAGCCCTGCCCTTGGGCTACACTGGGGGGGTCTTTGTCTTTGTCTGTACGCACTGCTGCACGTGGCGAATTGTACAGGCGGCTCACGTGGCCATGCCACTGCGTGTGCTTCTGTGCAGATAGTTTTTGTTTTTTGTTGCGGGTTAAGCCACAGTCCCCAAATACCGCTCGTATCAATGCGGATAAGAGGAGCGGGCGACCCACTTGCTCTGTAGAGGAACATTGGTATTAACGCTTGTTACAACATGAACAGCGCATTGAAAACGCGTACCGTTTTGTGTACTTGTTTACAAAGTGCGTTCACAAATCCACACTGACAAACACGATGATTTGGCAGAGGTGTGTCAATTATTTTTTCGATGGTGTATTTAAACAGAGGTACCGCAGGTAAGTAGTTTTCAGTTTTAAAGGCATTAACAAGACAACACTTGCCACCATCCTTCAAACCCATTGGTGAAAAAGAGTAAAGTTGTTTACATGATAATATCATTTCGATTTAAAGCTTTCGTGACTGCAGGGATTCATATTATTGGTTCTTTCGGTAAAGTCACCACGTGGAAGGGAAATAATACAATATTACAATAAATAATATTTCCCTTCTACCTTCGCTTTACCGAAAGAACCAAGAATTTGATAATATGTTTACGTGAGAGCTGGGGGCTTATGAGACCCCGGGGTCCCGCCAACAGGTTCATATGCCATAAGGTTCATATGCCATAAGGTTCATATGCCATAAGGTTCATATGCCATTAGGTTCATATGCCATTAGGTTCATATGCCATGAGGCTCATATGCCATTAGGTTCATATGCCATAAGATTCATATGCCATAAGGTTCATATGCCATTAGGTTCATATGCCATAAGGTTCATATGCCATAAGGTTCATATGCCATTAGGTTCATATGCCATTAGGTTCATATGCCATAAGGTTCATATGCCATTAGGTTCATATGCCATAAGGTTCATATGCCATTAGGTTCATATGCCATAAGATTCATATGCCATAAGGTTCATATGCCATAAGGTTCATATGCCATAAGGTTCATATGCCATTAGGTTCATATGCCATTAGGTTCATATGCCATAAGGTTCATATGCCATTAGGTTCATATGCACTTTAAATTGGAGGAGGTTCCCAATGTGACCAGCAGATGGCACAGGACCATCACTCAATGAGGCGCCGGCAGGTCATTACCTCAACAGCATTATCACGATACGATACTATTAGGGGCCGTCCATAAATGACGTCACGCGATTTTTGGACGATTTTTGACCCCTCCCCCCCCGTTCGTCACACAGCGGCACAAAAAGTCAGACCCCCCCCTCAAATATGACTTCACAAAGCTCTGCCCCCCCCCCCCCAATTTTTTTTTTATAAAACATGCTTCAAATCGATTTTTTTCGAATTAAAGCTTTCGTGACTGCAAGGATTAATCTTCTTTGGTTCTTTCGGTAAAGTCACGCAGAATGAGAATAAAATAATACATTAATAAAATAAGACAATAGAATTCTCACGACGTTTCGGCCACAACACAAGTAGCTTGATTTCAAGCTCTGTCGTCCCGACAGTTCTGTTCTTTCACCTGAAGAAGGCTACTTGTGTTGTGGCCGAAACGTCGTGAGAATTTTATTGTCTTATTTTATGTTTCTTAGCTCTTTCGGTAAAGTCACGTTGAAGGGAAACAACAAAATAATAAAATATATATAAACAATAAAAATTCTCACGACGTTTCGACCATAACACAATATTATTTTATTGTTTCCCTTCAACGTGACTTTACCGAAAGAGCTAAGAATATGAATTACTTCAGTCATGAAAGCTTTAAATCAAAAATTATTTTATTTTATTATTTTTTTCTCATTCTGCGTGACTTTACCGAAAGAACCAAAGAAGATGCTTCAAATCGCTTTAAACTATTGTCACTGTAGTGCGTATTTAATTTGGCGCTGCACTCTGATGTTGTAGGAGAAGACATATATTAAAACGTCTTTAATTAATTAGAACGTACTCTTTGGTTCTATTGGGTAAAGTCACGTAATAAATAAAATAGCAGTCACGAAAGCTTTAAATCTAGAATTAATTAGAACGTGTTGTCTATATTTATTTAAAGTTGCGCATTTTGATCTGACGTCACATTTCTCAAACCCCCCCCCCCCCTCGTCACACATCATCGCAAATGTCTGACCCCCCCCCCCTTAGGTGCGTGACGTCATTTATGGCCACCCCCTTATGCAGAATTTGACGATGTGACCATTGTCGTGATAACAGTTTCGCATAACTTTGTAGTTGCATTTCGCGCTTTATAATTAACATGCAAAAATATACTGTACATTCAAGTGGAAACTCCTGGTCTTTCGGGGGCCGGTGGGAACAGCCACGTGGCTTCCCAGAAGCCCGACGTTCAAATCGTGGAAATGTTTGGTGGCCGATTAAAAAATAAAAAAAAACCTTGAGATAACTTGTCGCCGAATTGGTGACCGCCGGTGACTCAACCGGGTTGCCCTGAGTACGACCGAAGGTTTGGCCAGGGTTCAGTGTCAAATTTCTACCCACCGGCACGTACCGGCGTGGTGAAGTATGGTCAAGCAATCCACGACGGCCGACCAGGCGTGCGGATGCCTTCGTCCAACAGTAAATTGACAGTTAACGGAGAATAATAGCGAGTGATTAAAATAGGTCCCTGCAGGGTGGGCTGGTAGAAGTTCGCAAATGAGATAATGTGACTTCCAAATGTTGGGTGCAATAAGACATATCAAGTCTCTGCGCTGTCTATTGCTAATTTTACACCCAACAGCACGAGATTTCATTTTGTTAAAGTATTGAAAGGGGACGGACGGACGGACACATTAATCTATTGCAGGCTGGTACACTCAGTTTACAACTTCGTTCCTACCAGTATAATTACGTAATCTAAATCCTGGCTGAGTCCCAAGACTCATTTCCAGGAGGGTCCTGCTACATTGCAAACCCGGAGAACACCCCACCACACATTCACGGTGTTGGGGGGTGGGGCGTTAATTGACGTGAGAGCATCACAGAACAGGATAACAGTTGCATTAGCTGTACTTGCTATTTGCTGTCCACATGGCAAAATAACCTCGTAGTAGCCTATGGCACCCTGGCATGCACAATAGTCACCCATCCAACAACTAACCCAGGCTCAATCCCGCACAGATAGATTCAAGAATCCATTGCTGTAGTGAAACCTCCATCTTCTGGCTGCCACGCAGCCTGGCCCAACACTACCGGCACTGGATATTCCCAAGCAGGTGTCTCCCAATCAATCCCTAAGCAGGCTGCACTCTGGCTGGCATTGCCAATTCAACATCTTTTAGCCAGAGAGGATATGTTTTTTTTTACATCTTCTATATAATATGTAAAAGGGAAATTTGTGAATCTTGACTGTTCGAAATGTTTAGCATACTTCCCAACATGCAACAAACTTGAAATTTGGCATGTGGGTAGCTTCCAGACTGTACACAATACAAAAAGTATAAAAAATATATTTTTGTATTTGGGGGGGGGGGGGGGGGGGGGGGGGGGGTGGCGCAATAATGGATATATTTTGCACGGCAAGTGAGCGGTGACGTCACATCTGTGATGTCACCCGCATGCGGAAGCGTCACGCAGTGTGCCTGCTGACGTCACGCAGTGTGCCTGCCGACGTCACGCAGTGTGCCTGCTGACGTCGCGCATCCCCCCACCCCACCCTCCGCGTGGGCCCTGTATTAATCCATGACATGAATCCAAGTCCCGGGCGAAGCCAGCTAGTAGAGCTAGTTATACTGTGTAGGAACCTCCTGGTTCCACCAGCCCACAGGGGATTATTGTCGTGCATCCAAAAATGGGAGGGGTGGGGCTGGGTGGGGAGGGTGGGGAGGGGCTGGGTGGGGAGGGTGGGGCTGGGTGGGGGGTGGGAGGGGTGGGGCTGGGTGGGGAGGGGCTGGTCACCCCGTGGTGCCCTTATAAAACTCAACGTTTCACCTACTCACGCCGGCTTGT